CGGGATGGTTTAAGGATTTCTTCGTTGAACTGCGAAGTATTTGGACTTGATAATGCATTTTTCTACATTAGCCACCCAAAAAATTTGAGAAATGCTTCTGTACAGCACCTCTCCACACGAAGCCGCTATATCCTGGAGCTCGTGGTTAGAGCAAAAGTGCCTGGAGCTTAAAGGTTTGGCACTCAGGGGCTGGTAAATGCCAGGCCTTTAACTCTACACCCTAAATCCTGACCCTGAGCTCGCTACAGGAGCTGCGTGGACGGTGGCTCGGCGCCAGCGTGAGGAAGTGGCACCTACAGTAGCAGGTACACGGTCTATAGGGCTGTTGTGTTTATGGGTTTTTTGTGTTCAGTGTGCAGGGGAACTCAGACTTCTACGGAGGGGGGGAGCGAATCATGTATCAGCCCAAGCACAGGGTCTTGTTTCCCAGGTTGCAGCAGGCTATCGCAGGCAGGCTGTCCCATCAACCCTATTGATGCGATGTTGATAAACGCTGAGACGGCGTGATTGTGGGCTATGCTGTGATTGCAGCTGGGCGCGCCATCAAATACTTGTTGTACGACGTTACACGCGCATTGTTTCTAGCACGCGCGGCATGCATTCAGGCTTGCTTTGCATTAAGTCAGAAGCACCGTTAGCATACGGACTTGCACCGTATCCCCTGCATCAGATCGATCCATGCTTTTCAAGTGCACCCAAAAAAGGGACCCGAGCTTATGGGTATGCTCCGCAGGTAAATCCTAAACCATACACCCTTCAGCCTGACCCCTATGCTAGAACTGCTACACCCTGAACCCCTGACTCTGAAACTTACAAACCTTCATCACCAGCGTGCGGGAAAACAGCGCGCCGAGGGTTTACATGATGGTGGTCCTCCACATGCTGCGATACTTTGGCATGCCCCGTCTATCAGCTTACCTTGCTTCACCTGCACCATCCTGTGTCACCATTGTCGTTCTCGCAGTTGATTTTCTTGCTCCAACGGCAGCCAGCTCATTCGCGTTGCTTTGTCGTCGTTCCACCTGTCGTGTGGCCTCCCCATAACTCGATCTTCTCTGTTTGCCTCGGGGCAGTCTTTTGCAGTCCTGGCTGGAACAAGATAGAGTGCTTACAAAGCTAGAAGTTTGTTTTAGGGGGCTGTGACCTACGAAGATCCAACTTTTTAGCGAGAATATCAAGAGACAGCTTTTCTGAAGATGAGCCGGGTCATATAGAGCTGCCACACTGGATTACGAAATTAAGCAATTGAATCCCATCATCCAAATCTTTCCATTTCGAGCCTATAGACCCCAAGACCCGCATCAGTGAACAAATACTGTAGTATCCACCCTGCCCGAAGCCCATTCCGTCCCTGCCAGAGCAAATTACCACGACTATTGACCCCACACAGTGCCTTTTTCCGACCAAGTGAACTCCAAAGCCCAACCCTAATCCGCACACCCTACAACCCCAGATTCCCAATCCCCCATCCCCACAAAGCTCGAGCGATTCTAGTGGAGAGGCACCCTCGAATCATCACCCGAAACAGGTTGGGATTCCACAAAAATCATGAATGGGAGTTTCCTAGAATTAGGGGTACCCCATTGGGGGTGCCCATAGTATATTAGGGTCTATATTGGGGTTCCCCTATTTTGGGAAACTACCGAATCTGTTTCTGCTGAGCATCCTGCGGGCCAGGCGATGGCTTCAGGCAAGAGGTCGGTGGCAAACCTTCGGGAACGCACGCGTAAGACTTCGGATCTGGGAGTTTTGCCATTCATGTGATTTGGAACCACTACACATGTGCTAGCTGAAATTGTGAATTTGTTGCGCTTCACTATTTCCCTATGTTGAGAATCCCAAGCCTCTTGACCCCCAATCTCTCAAACCCAGGAAACCCTGAGCCTCGGCAAGAGCTGGGTCCTCAATCCATGCTGTGGAAGCCTAAACTGTGTCAATAGGACTTTGGGGTGTATGCTACTATTGTAGGTGCATGCGGGTTAGAGGGTAATAGCGGAGGAATATAGCTGTGCTTATAGGTCATTTGAGCTGCAGCCAGCGAAAGTCGCGGAGATCTTGCAAGGACGCATCTTAGAGTTGGGAACATGGCTGTTTGTGGGTGTTGGTTTGCTGTTACTTGCTATTGGTCTAACCATGACTCTGATTAATATTTGTGCGGCCGTTGTAAAACGTGATACTCACCCGCCATACTGAAGAACCCCTTCCCCGTTGAGAACCCGTACAGTATTCCGTACAGCCACTAGCGGCAGCTAGCGGCATGGCTTCTAAGTCCGGTGTCCATTCTGCTCCCCTTGTCGCTTTCCATGTGATTCTCCATTACTGCAATTACCCCTCAACCCGAAACCCTAAACAAAAAGCAAGGAGTACGTCCCAATTTTGTGTCCAAAGGTCTGCTAAGAGGGGAAACTCGAGTGGGTTGGGGTCATCTAGGGGTTGTATAGAGGTTTTGCAGGGTTGATGTAGGGTTTATTTTGGAGTTGCACAGGGTTATGTAGGGTTATTATAAGGGACCTCTTCATGCAGTATACACATATTCTTGTACTGCAGTAGGTGTTCTCAGAATTCTGGGCCCCTTTTGGCTATAGATTATCGTACGGCACCTAATATGAAGGGACACCAAACTTGGACCCTTACTTCGGGAACTACCCATGTAATGGCAGGCAACCGTTTGAGAGTACAAGGCTGTCTGATAAGCATCTTCCATTGGTTATGTAGGTGTCATACGGAGGTTATGTTGAGATTATATGGGTACAATGGAAGATAAAATGGAAACTACTATTCAGAGTTGTATTGGAGCTATATTGGGTGCGTAGTTGCCAACGCTGTTGCAGCTTGAGCTGGCGCGCGCACGTTTTTCCGGAGCCAAGCAGAGTATACAATTTACCATGACCCGCTGATAAGATATGTGTAACAAGGCCCTAGCTTTGTAACCAGCAGGTGGGCTGTATTTTCCATTATCCCAATATAACCCCAATATAACCCTAAATAATAATTTCCATTATATTCTCCATTATCCCAATATGGCCCCAATATACCCCTTAAATGGCAGTTTCCGAATTATTTTCCATTCTCCCAATATAACCCCAATATAACCCCTGTATAACCCTAAATGGTAGATTTACCCCTTGCAATGACCAGCGGTCCAAGATGAATTCTGAGTGAAATCCGGCCAGCAACCTGCGTCTCACTAAATGAGATGGAAACGGCCTGGCACACGGAGCAGCACTTTCTCTTGCACAAGAAATCATAGCAGGCACGCAACAACATGGCTTTCCGCGTGACGCAATGAGCAACAGAGACAACGCCCAAACCCCACACGTCAATGGCATCGCAGCCCCAAAGAAGAAAACATAAAATACTCGACAAAAAAAACGCCCGGACTAACGGGATTCCTACCTCGATTGGAAAGGAAGCTATGGCTATTACTACTACTACTACTACCACTACCACTACCACTACCACTACCACTACCACCACCACCACGACGACTACTACTACTACTACTGCTACTACTACTACTACTACTACCACTACTACTACCACCA